ACCCCTTCTTTCTCACCTCATCCCCGTTTCCATTTCCTCCCCCCCACCCACCGTTCATCTGTGCCCCAGTGCTCCATTCTTTGAATAATCATATTTTAACTTTGTCAATGAACAACTTTAAAACGGTGTTGTATCAATCAGGTTCAAACGCGGCTGCTATGGGCAGTATTCTAAGGAGCAGATGTTGGCGGCCATCCAGGCATATCAAACTGGTCTCATGGGACTGAACGCAGCTGCAAAGCTTTACAACATTCCTCGCGCCACACTTAGGCGAAAAGTTGAAGGGCTTGCCGTTATGCCAGAGGGGCTGGGGGTTGATTTGTCTGCTAAAGGTATGCCGAAATGTTGCCCTCCAAAATAAATGTTTGAATTGTTACTGCTAGTACATGTACAGCACCAGTTGTGAATGAATTGTGATTGAGAAAGCATGTTGACGATCGAAGCCCCTATATGCCCTGTGATTTGTATCTGACTGTAGATGCAGGTACTGTTCAAATGATGACTGTATGAATGAACGTGTGTATGAGTGTGAATGACTGAGTGACTTTGTTTCTTAATGCCACCCAGGTTACGCCACCCTCTAACTGGACCTCTCTTTTGCCTTGCAGTACCTCCCCAACCGGGGACCAATGCCGTGGACGGCGCGCCGCAGCCCTCGGCCTCGGCGGGCCGGCCGCCAGCGCAGCCCAAGCAGCAGCTGGACGTGAAGCGGGAGCCGTTGTCGGCGTCGCCCCGCGAGCGGCCGTCGCCCAGCGGCCACCCGCAGCCCGCCATGCCGTCCCCCGCGAGCCACCCCGCGTCCATGTCGACGCCTCCCGGCCACCCCGCGGGGCTCCCGTCGGGTCACCCTGCCGCGCACCCCGGCCCCCCGCCCCCGCGCCGCTCCGCCCCCGCGCAGATGCGGCCGCCGGGGCCGGGGCCCCAGGGTCCGCCCTCGCCGAGCCTGCCCCCGCAGACCGCCGCGCCGCCCCCGGAGGTGTGCCTCCGCTGGAACAGCTACCACTCAAACATGCAGGCCACCTTCCCCTCGCTCCTCAACAACGAGCAGTTTGTGGACGTGACGCTCGCCTGCGAGGGCCACAGCATCAAGTGCCACAAGGTGAGTAAGGCAGACCAGAACACGTGGCACGCACCTTTCTTTTAACTTGGGATTAGTCCTGATAGGCGTGCAGCTGTTGGTGTATTGACAGCTGGTGTCCGTTAACAGTGTACGATACTCTTTGTAATATTTTCTCACGTGTTTGTCTCTCTGTTGACAGGTCATGCTTTCAGCATGCAGTTCATATTTTGAAGAGCTTCTAAGTCAGAACCCTTGTCAACACCCTATTGTCTTAATGAAAGATCTCCGCTTTTGGGAGGTCCAGGCGTTAGTTGACTTTATGTATAGGGGGGAGGTAAACGTCACTCAAGACAAGTTGCCTTCCCTTCTAGCTGCTGCAGAAGCTCTTCAAATTAAAGGTAATACTCTCTCTTTTCTTGTTTTATTCATGCATATTTAAATTTTATCATTGAGAAATTTTTATTAGGGTGATTCTTAATTCCCTATTTTTCAATTTCAGGCTTGGCTGGCCCAGCTACAAATTCTAATGATGGAGGGTCAAACTATGATGAAACTGTTAGAAACAATGCTGCCCCACGAAGAAAACGACCAAGGCAGATGACAGACGTGAGTTTTAGTCATTTTTTACCTTAACAATATTCAACTTCTATCCAGTAAATCCTATTTTACACATTCTTTTATGTCCAGCCCGCTGAACTACTTCCTCGGAATCCTGTTGGGCGTCCAAGAATTCATCCTAAAGCCCCTCAGCGCCCTCAAGGACCTCCATCAGCACAGCCTGGCATGCCACCTCGAATTCAAGTGAGACCAGAGCAACTTCTACAGAGACCAATTCAGTTAGATGATGGACCCCCAGCACAGAGAATTAAACATTCTCCACCAGCTAGCCCAGCAGTAAGTAGTCTCTGATGCAAAACATGCATATGTGATAAAACGTAAATGCCTTCAGACTCAACAATTAATTTTTTCATAAGGTTAAACCTGAACCCTTGGAAACCGACCTAAGCAATGACTCAATGGACAAGATGCGTTATGATGTTGGCGATTCTGGACGATATGATGGTGCAGACTCTGGAGGCAGTGGTGATGGCAGCAACCATGGCGATGCTCTTGTTGACCTCAGTCAAGGTAAGCAAACAACTGACATCTTCCTCCTGAAAAGCTTAGGTCATCCAAAGAAAATGTGGGAAGACATTGTTTGGAGATCCATGTAATAGTTTTGAAATGTATTTGTTGTGCAGGACGCTTCAGTATAAACAATGGCCTACAAGCTGATCGAAATCGAGACCATTCGGACAATGAACATGATGACGACAGGCATATGGATGATGAAGAAGATCGCGACTTGGACCGTGGCCAGGAAAACGATCGGAACCAACATCAGCTTAGAGACCACCATGACATTGAACAAGAGAACGACCACGACGATGACCACGAGATGGACCAGGATCATGACAACGACCAGGAACGTGACAATGACCAAGGATTGAACATGGGAGGCAGTGAAGATGACCAAGACATTCATTCGTCGGATGAAGACCAATATGACAATGAACCTCAGCATCCTCAGCATCCTCACCCCCAGGACTCCAGACAACAGGGTGAACATTTGCCAGATCACTTATTGGGACGATTGTAACTGTCTCAGCAGATTGGTAGTCTATAGAATTTATACTTTTGTCTCGGAAGATGACATTGTGTTGTATACCATTTCATGTTATAAGCCTGTTTATTTCAGGCCCTTAATTTCTTTATCTATGACTGCTCTGGGAACCAAGTCCGGCATTTGCCGTGGCACATTGTTTTAGTGTATAGTGTATGTTGAAGTGTTGAACCAGTTTTAGTTAGTGCAAACTGTCATATTCCACTTAAGGATTGTTAATTTCTTGAACTTTAACTTATTTGTTCTGTTGACCCAGCAAACCTAGCAAGGTTGTGCGTTGTACTTGTCTGTGTGTTCTGTGTACTGTAGTCAGATGTTTACCATAGCACCTTCAAGTTAAAACTTGGTATGTGTTATTTTAATGTTTAGTGCAGCATACCAACAAAATGCTGGGTGTATTTGGATTGTTTGTATGTAAAATGTATACAATTCCAACTGTATCATATTCCACTAAGGTAGAATAAGTTAATGCAGTATATATGTTATTTTTTCTTTCAAAATGCCATTGTTGATGGGATCCATAGATTACTCTGGATCAGCACTGCCAAAGAGCAGCTGACGGATAGGCAACCTTGTTGGTTGCTTTTAATCCGCTGCACCTTGTCCCAACTGAGTTCATAGTGATTTTATTTCATGTTTTTATTTTATATATTTTTG